AAGCCAAAGGAGGATACAGTGTGGAGAGAGAAAGAGAGACAGAAGTGAGAGGATGCTGGGTGCAAAGACCCAGATAAACTGATGCTGAGGGACAGAGAGGCAGCTGCTGTACCGTACATCCGCCTTTGGCCGTGCTCTATTGGCAGCTGTAGATCCCTGTGTCTCTCTAGCTCATGTTGAGGATGGGAAACTCAGCCACGTCCCCTGCGTTAGGTCCATCGAGCGCCGTGCAGCCGGGTCTCCAACTTTACTCAGAAGGACCCTCGCTCCGTGACACCGACACTCACACCGGACGGTCTCGGCTCTCCCCAGGGCGACCCCCCCACTGGGGTACAGGGAGATGCTGGGTTTGGGCTCTGCAGGCAGAAGGAGACAGGCTGGTCACTGCGCCCTGTCCACACAGCCCGGCCCCAGTGACAAGACTGATACAGGGGCCTGCAGGGAGTGTCTCCTGGATGCTTTTCCCCTAAATCCAAGATTGAGAGAGCTGGGCTAGTGACACAAGAGACACGGGGCCCCCCCACCCCTCAGTAGGGCAACGGTGCGGATCCATCTGCAAGGAGCCCATAGAGGGGCGGCTGGGGCAGGGCAAGGAGAGGCCGAGGGGACCTAGAGGCCAATTGCGTTTTATCTCCATCAGCTGGGGAAGGAGAATCAGAGTTTGCTGGTTTAGCAGGAATTGCTGTGCAGGGTCACACTGGGAACTATTGCTGACCTTGCCTGAATTAAAATTCTCCTTTGAACAATCTTCATTTAAATGACACAAGCACAGAAACAGTTTCCTTCCCTTGCCAAAGCTGTTGTTAAACTTTCCCTTGATTTTATAGAACTTTGTTTAACACAGAATTGTTCTGTATTGGCTTTATTATTATTTAGGGTTACCATATTTTAATTTTTAAAAAGGAGGACACTCCATGGGGCCCCGGCCCTGCCCCAAATCCGCCCCCGCCCCGCCCCCAGCCCCTCCCCAACTCCGCCCCCTCCCCTGAACGCTCCGCCCACTGGTCCTCCCCCTCCCTTGAAACAGGGAGGCAGCAGGTAAGCTGGGGCGGGGAGCGGCGCGGCGCGGCTCAGTCCGGCCCCCCTGGCTGAGCGGCTCCCTCCAAGAGGCTCTGGACCCGGCGTCTCCCGCCTGGCTGG